CTGGAATCAGGGCTCAAGGACATGTGGTGGGCTTAGTATGAGACAACTCCAGTGGAGTCCAGATTCTGAAGGCCAAAAAGGAAAGGGAGAGAGGAGAGGAGGAAACAGAGACATAGGAATACAACCTAGCCTTGAACCAGGGTATGAAAGCTCTTCCCCCAAGCCTGAGGTTGTAGATGGGTGTGAAACTGGGAAATATCTGATGGCTCCAGGCCACAAAACTGTGCAGTTCTCTTCAGCACTCAGTCAATACTATGAACAATCATGAGATAGTTTATATCTCGAGCTAAACAATTTTACTCTCGATGCTGTATGCTTTCTTCAATTCCGTTTTCTTTTTTTTTTTTTTTTGCAAATTGAGACTGCCCCAAATAATTCAGGATGGGGCTTGTAACACAAAGTACAGTTTAAGAAGCAGGTATTCAAATAGTGGAACAAACATCTGATACTTATTCTGTAAGCATGGAGCTCAGAGGTCAATCAGTCAGAGTTGATGTGCCCCTGCTTTCCTGAATTCCAATCCAGTGGAAGTGCTGAATTCTCAATAATAGCCAACTGTACGTCGCACACTCGGCTGAATGCCAGGTTTAGACATAAGGATGACATGCTTTCTAATCTTCGGAAAGTCCCAGTGCAGTAATGAGGTCACAGCCTAAATTATTCCATTACAAAATCAATGACGATCAGTAAACGGGGTTCAAAGGACTAAGAGTGGAGCCTAATTACAAATACATGCACTACCCACGATCTCATTCCTTGGTTTTCTCTGTGGTTTGATCTTCAATATCCTGGCCATCCGAAGCAGAGACACATCGTTCATGGAAGATGCCATAGTCATACAGGTGAACATATGGTTTGCGTTTTACTTTGGGTCCTAGGAGACCACTGTGTGTTGAAGTGCAGTGCGTGGTGGAGATTCAAGGAAATGAGATTTCAAACAGCATGGAAGACAGGGGAAAGGAAGCAGTTTAACTAGTTGCATTAAAAGAAAAAAAAATTGGTCTTATAATTGGAAGATATAAAAATGAATTGTTTTATATTTTATCTGTCAGATAAAAAGATTATAGAATCCACCTTTAGCAGGAACTTCCCAATGACACAGAAACTGACAATTCAGCCACGATTGTAAAGATTACTAATAAAGATGAGATATTATACATATTTTTGTGCTTTTAACAAATAGCCTACAGGTATTTGTCTTAATACTGTGTTTATGCATAGAATTTTGCCACACTTATTTCTAACCAGACATAGAAATCACTTTCCTTGTGATGGGCAGAAGATGGTTTAAGTATAATGGGTGGGAGGAACTTTCTAGATTGGACATTGATTCGTTGTCAAACAGTTACCAAGGACCATGATTACAACTAACCATTCAGTGAGCATCACAGAAGGTTATCAGGGTGTTTATTTTTATATAGTGAAACGTCTTGTTAAATTTCGTAGTAAACGTGTAGAGACAAAAATTTGAGCTGTGTTCACGTTGTGATGCTTATAGCTTTATCACATACTGTTAACATGATTATAATATTTCAACCCTAAGCTGACATGATTTTTCCTTAACATGTTGATAAAAAGTCTTAGCCAACAACAGTAAAGGCTGAAATTTCTGATTGAAATAGTAGAACTTGCGTTTATGGGGAAGTGGGAGAAACAGGAAACCCTCCTTACCGCCAATGTGAAAATCAAAGATTCTCCTAAGATATGTTTCATGCACTGAGGTGTAGTTCATTAAAAGTAGAAACCCAAGCCAAAAGGCCTGTAGGAAACCATTGCCCATTGAAAAGAGACAGTTTATGTAAAAATGTATACTGAGCCTCATCACGCCCGTGGACAGTATGATAACTCCCTCTTGAAGGCTGTATCATCGGTGCTGTGTTGGTGTGAGTATGTATCTCAGTCACTCCCCTTCTCTGCTGAGACCTTAAGCAGAGTCTTTTATTAATCTTTCTCATCTTTCAATGTCTTACACATTTTAATAAGTAGCCAATTAATAACTTTTCAAATTTTGGAGGAGACTAGACTAGAATAGAATAGAAATTAGAATAAAGAAAAATGCCAAAATTAGTATTGACAACTTCTGATGTTATGTTTATGCATAGAATTTTGCCACACTCATTTCTAACCAGATGTAGAAATCACCTTCCTCGTGATGGGCAGAAGATAGTATAAATACAATTGGAGGGAGGAACTTTCTTGATTGGACATTGATTCATTGTCAAAGGACTTACTAAGGACCATGATTACAACTAACCATTCAGTGAGCATCACAGAAGGTTTCAATTATTTCCTATTGGTTGGTCCCACATATTTAATGATTACCAATGAAATTAGGGCTGATCATTAGGAAGTTAATTTGTGAATCGGAAGGCAGCCTGCCTCCACAAAAGGGATACTCGAAGGAAAGGCTGAACACATTAGTCAAGGAAGAGTTGCAGAGGGTTTTTTCAGATCAGCGTATACACACACTGCCTTAAGGTGCTTTCCAGCCTGAATTTCATTAATGCTATTTGGAAATAGTAACTTTGGAAATATGCTGCAAAGAGCCAAACATAATCACACATTGCCAGGCAACATTCTTCTGGCCAGAGAGGTCTGATTTGGAATCTTTGACAGACTTATTATTTTAACAGCTTAACAGCTCAACCTGGTGAAAATCATTTCAAGAGGGAATGATCTAAAATGCTTCTTTAAAAGGGCCATTCTTTTAGGTTGAAATAATATCAAAATGCCTCTCACCACCTTTTCCCTAGCAGAAAGTTAATTCCTCTCTGGCCCCTACCACAGATTGTGTCAGAAACAAAGGTTGGCCACCACAAGATGGAATTTATAAAATTTTACATAAAGATGCTGTCAATATTTGCCTAGTTATGTTATCTAAGAAGCTGAGAAATTTGGTTTATATTTGAAGATCAGCAAATGCCAAAAATACCAATTTGAATTGTATCATCTTTCCCAGCATTACACGAAAATGGTGATGGAGCCTATCTTAGTGCGTCTATGGAACTTTTTAGATCTCAAAAAACTATGTTCAGTAGCATTTTAACATGAAACCTATTTTATTTTAATTCTTAAAACATCATATTCTGCATTCATATTTGACATCAGGCCTGAAGCCTTCTTTCCCATCTTCACAGGTTTTGTTCCATCTCCTCCTCAGCTGAATGCTAGGTAGAGACACAAAAATGACATGCCTTCTACCCTCCAGAAAGTCCCAGTGCAGTACTGAGGTCACAGCCAAGTAATTCCAATACACACCCAATGGTGATCAGCAAAGGAGGTTCAAAGAGCTAAGAGAGTGTGAAGCGGGAGGCTAATTGCAAATAGGTTGATTCCCCAGAATCTCATTCCTTGGCCTTCGCTGGGTTTGATCTCCAGCATTCTGGCCGTCTGAAGCAGAGACACACACTTATTATGTGGCCTTGGACAACCTCTGAGGCTCAGTTTTATCATGTGTAAAATAGAATTAACTACAACAGCAAAAGATGTTGTGAATATGAAATTAGACTATCTGGGTCAATTATAGTGGGCTGGAGATTCATTTCATTCAACTTCTCCAGATTCCCTCCAGGCTCACAGATTCTTGGGATCTGCCTCATGGCTGCCCCAGCAGTCAGCAAAGAACACAACCCTCCTCCCAGCTAGACCCTCCCTAGAGAGCTAGGGTCTGAGTTCTCAACATCAGCATCACCACAGATAATGCAAGTTACCTGCCTCGACCCCAGACATCTGAATCAGAGACTCCAGCATGGAGCCAGCAGAGTCTGTACTGCACGCACCCTCGAGGTGATTCTGATGCTCCCAACGTTTGAGAACCATCCTTCTTTTCCTCCCCTTGTCCCCAAGATCCCTAAATTCTTTCCATCCCTTTGTACCACCCACTAACTCACCTCCTCCAGCCTCCCTTTTACAGGCTGTATTGTCTATAGTAAGTCATTGCAGAAATTCTCGACTGGAACCAAACGCTAACCATGGGTAGGAGAAGAACATACTCTCAGGTGGTAGAGTAACTAAAAGCACCCCAAGACTTTCCTTCGAGTAGGATTATCTCTGTCTTTTGTAGGACTAAAAGATATCTCTGCTTCATAGCCACACATTTCATTACAGTGGGCCCCATCTGTTGCCATTTGCTCAGCACGTGCTAGAACAGGAAAGAGCTTGGAGCAGCCCCTTCCCATAAGAGGTATCATGCACATCAGAACAACTAAATTGTCACAGGAACCTCTAACTCTGTCCTTAGAATAAATTCCTAGAAGCCTGCTTCTGGTTGGGCCAAGATAGGTATCTTTTCTGGCAGATGAATTTCAGTAAGTTAAAAACCCTGTCTTTGAAAGTGTTTGAGATCTCTTAAAGAAGAATCCTTTGAATGAAAAAGCTTCTGATTGTACATGAAGTAAACCCAGAAGACTTTCTGAAAGTCCCCCACCCTCTGTGGTCATGGGACTCACAGATCCCTTGTTAAGAATTCTGCATTGTCTACTCCAGGAGTTGCATCATAGATATCGGTGACTTACCCAACTCTGGGATGTGTTTTGTGGAAGCCATCCCTATTTACTAAAGATATATTCTTGATAAACCTTCTGAAAAAGTGGGGAAAAAAGCATTTCCTTTAAAACTAGGAGAGCAGGCTGGGCGCGGTGGCTCAAGCCTATAATTCCAGCACTTTGGGAGGCCAAGACGGGTGGATCACGAGGTCAAGAGATTGAGACCATCCTGATCAACATAGTGAAACCCTGTCTCTACTAAAAATACAAAAATTAGCTGGGCATAGTGGTGCACGCCTGTAGTCCCGCTACTAGGGAGGCTGAGGCAAGTGAATTGCCTGAACCCAGGAGACGGAGGTTGCAGTGAGCCGAGATCGCATCATTGCACTCCAGCCTGGGTAACAAGAGCGAAACTCCATCAAAAAAAAAAAAAAAACTATGAGAGCAGATGGATATGGAAAGACATTCTTTTGGTGACAACAATGAAGATTGCTGACGTATCCTTTTGCTTTACAGGAATGTTAGTTCGGCCGGAGAGGAGGCTCGCAGAAGGATGCGAGAGTGTGATGGGCTCACAGATGCCTTGCTGTACGTGATCCAGTCTGCACTGGGGAGCAGTGAGATCGATAGCAAGGTTGGTTGTATTTGCATAGATTAAGCATGTTCAAGAATAAATTCTCCCACAGGACTAAACCATAGCTAACAACCCAGGAGAGCCAACACAGTGTTTCAGACTTTCCTTCTGAACTCTCTCCTGATTTCCTTGTAAGAATCCAATACTTTTTACACTTGCCTTCAGATTCGAGCGCGGAACTAGATACCTAACTTCTGATTAGCCGTGAGTAAATATGTAGATTGTTCTAAGTTACTCAGACCACAGGTGTTCCGGTTGAGTGTATAAACTTGAATACTACATTGCTCACAAGCTTCTGGTTTTTATTTAATGTAATCGATTCACTTTCAAAAGAAAAGACAAGATGTTAAAACGACCTGACTTTTAATGTAATCTACTTTCAAAAGAAAAGACAAGATGTTAAAACCACCTGACAGAGCCTCATTCTGTAATCCAGGCTCTGTCACCCAGGAGTGAAGTGGTGCCGTCAAGGCTCACTGCAACCTCCACCTCCTGGGTTCAACTGATTCTCCTGCCTCAGCCTCCTGAGTAGCTGAGATTACAGGCATGCACCACCACGCCTGGCTATTTTGTATATGTTTAGTAGAGACAGGGTTTCACCATGTTGGTCAGGCTGGTCTGAAACACCTGACCTCAAGTGATCTGCCCACCTTGGCCTCTCAAAGTGCTGAGATTACAGGCGTGAGCCATGGCATCCAGCCCTGAGATTTGAATAATCCCATAGTCTTATAAACTTGATTTTTAACAGCTGTTAATTACATTAAGTGCCATTTAGAAAGGCCTGCAAGATCTAATAAATGTCGCAATGCTAAATAAATGAGGCTTCCCAACATAATAAATCACCAAAGTCTATTCAGTGTGGCTTAGTTCACAAGCCAGAATAGAATTGGGTGGGCTTTTCCAGTGTTTGAACTATTTTGTTTAGTCTTAAATAAGTTTGATTCATTCGTATGTTTGTAAAGTGATTTCATAATATCCTGCTACAAACACAAACTTTACCAATACTCTTAAAGTAATGCAGGTAATAAATGTGATTTCTTAATAAGGATTTCTCAAGAGCCACCCTAATTGACATTTTTGCTGAGTTATTCTTTGTCATGGGACTGTCTCATGTGCTGCAGGATGCTTAGCAGCATCCCTGGCCTCTGCCCACTGGACACCAGTAGCAGCCCCATCCCCACCCTAGTAACAAACAAAAACATCTCCAGACACTGTCATACATCCTGTGGAGAGCAAAATTATCCCTGGTTATGAACCTCAGCCTTAATCCTGTGATTTCCATTCTGTCTCTTCATTAGAAGTGCCTTTGGAGTGTTCATGTAAATACATCTGCCCAGACCCTATTGCAGTCCTCTGAACCCAACTTTTCAACTCTGGTCTCAAGTTTTTGTACCTTTAGAAGTTCATCAAGTCATTTGATGTGTATCTTAGATTAAGAACCTGCCATAGTAGATAGAGCTTTAATATGACTCTCTAATTGGGAATCTGGTATAATGTAATTTAGTTACAAAGTTAGGTAAAGAACATGTGTTTCTATCCATGTAGTCATGAACTGGCTGTGTGTATAAGTGAGCATAGCACTTCTCAACCCTGACTACACATTAGCGTTACCAAGAAATTTAGAAAATCACTGATGCCTGAGTCTCACTCCCCAAAGATTTGAATGCAAGGTTCCTCTGGGACTTCAGCCCTGTGAGTACTAGTCCACCACAATATGAGCACCACTTGTCATCTTTTAACTTCTGCGCAGTTAGGCTCACATCTATTCATTGACTGTGTGTTTTTAATTTCAAAGATGAACATGATGTACCAAAGAGTAAGCATTCCCCTTTCACAGAAGCCCTTACGTGACCATTTTAGGCCTTTTAATATCATCGGCAGGAAAATTAAATCCCTAATCAAGTGACCAGTCAAGATGTCTTGAGTATTTACAAATGCTTGTTAGCGTAATAGACACATGCGTTTTCAAAGAGCTCCTGAAAGTAAACCACTGAGGCGATGGTGCTCAGCATCCTCATATTCAGAGTGGTGAAACAGCGAGGCACTGGGAGACTGTACCTTTTACTGTGATGGTTATGAAACGAGCTTTGATACTAGCTGGGCCTTGCAGCTGAAAATAAGAGTCAACAGCCTCATGCTTCGGCCAAGAGTGGTCACCAGCACCAAAGGTTAAGGCACTCTTCAGGAGCCATGCCAAGAACCCACATGGCACGAACATCTTCTTTCTGATGTTTCAGATGACCAGACTCCTAAAACCCTGGGAGACTTTGTAGTTCATCTTTTCTAATGTCCGAATTTTCCTCGAAAGGGGAAGCTGAAATAATTGGGAGTATTCACGGCTGGAGTCAGAAAACCCAGGTATCCCTGGTGGAGTAAGAAGAGCCCTGAGCTGGCATCGAGACAGGGCCAGTGCACTATGCCATCTCCACCTCCCACTGGCTGGAGCGTCACACCCAAGTGACCTCAACTCTGTGACAAGGAGCATAATCATAGCTGAATGCCAAGGCTGTTGAAAGGATCAGGTGTGATCAGTTACTCAGCAGGTGCTTCACTGGCTGGATTGTGCTACCTACTATTTTTATGTAGCACCTGTTACTATTGTTTTAACATATTTTTATTGTACCATCATTTTCCACTCAGCCCTCTGCTTGGCTGCTTTTGAGCTTTAACAATGGCAACTTGAGGGTGATGGGGCTGAATGAGTACACCTCCTTTTTAAGGCCCAAGAAGTTAATACATAAAAGAGACTGGATTCCATACAAGATTGTGGCTCTGGTCCTACAATTGGGCCAGTGTGTTGACTGGATGACATGTGGTAGACCACTCTTACAACTTCCAGATTAACACTTTCTAATAGAAAATAAGGAGTCAGAATGACCCTGATAATCAAAAAGAACTGCTGAGAGCCCTGCTGACGGCAATGGACGTCCCAAGCAAAGCTGCCAGCTGCCTTGCTCCTGCTGGGATCCCAGGGATTTTATCTTCTCTTTCTCCCCGTCTGTTAGAGAAAAACTCTTGAATTAAGTAACTCTTCCAAACCAAGCCAGACTGAGAAACTCCAGGAGGCTTAAATGAAAGTTAAGTGTGGTCCCTGTGACCTTCCTTCCCCCATTCCTCCCTCCCCACCCAACCCCATCCCCACTTTTTCTCTCTTCTTCCAGCTTCTTCCCAAATCATTTCCCCAGCTGCAGCTCTATTATAAAGCATTTTTCGCAACTGCAGATTTATTCCCCAGTAGTCATTTGTTAAACAGAGGAACAGCAGTGCCTCCGGGGAAGACGAACAGTGGGATGAGAAAGAAGTTTATTCTTCCAAGTCTTTGATGTAAGAAAAATCAGTTTGAGCTGATTTAAAAATCATTCTGACTTATGCCATAACATTTTCCTTTCAATGAGAATCGTTTCTCTCTTTCATGCATTGCCCTGAGTTTACCTGCTTTCATGCCAGCCAGTCCAGTTTTTGATGCTGAGAGGATGCTTGGAATAGAAAATCAGGTTGACTCAGAGCCTGCAGGATTAGCAGCCCATGACACCTTGAAAAGCTGACAAGAAAGGTGTGGAATGATAAAGGCTCCAGAGATATTTCCTGAAAACTAGTTTTCCTCGTAGATTTTCACGCCCTTGGTAATAAGTACAAGGCACCTGCTACCTTTCACCAAATTCCAGTCAATGGAGGGAAACAGTGCAGGATCACGATCCCAGCAGCCCTGGCTCATTCCAGTCCCACCCCAGGACTGCACAGAAGCAGCTCAGTCTGGTGGGAGATATTCACAGTTTCAGCTCTCCTCCCCTTCACCTGTGCAGTGGAATTGTGTTATGTGCCTTCACGGGTGGCTGTTATGTAGCAGCTGCCTGAAAAATGATAGCCAACTTGGCAAGATTCTTAAAATAAAACTTGGCTCAGTTTATTTTTTTTTCTCATCATGATTTCACCTCTTTTAAAAATTGGGTATTTTCCCCCTCTTTCCGTGATTCCTGGAGTCAAAATGTCAGTTTTGTCTTTTTTGTGTGTGGGTGTGTGTGTGAAGGAGTTTCGCTCTTGTTACCCAGGCTGGAGTGCAATGGCGCGATCTCGGCTCACCGCAACCTCCGCCTCCTGGGTTCAGGCAATTCTCCTGCCTCAGCCTCCTGAGTAGCTGGGATTACAGGCACACGTCACCATGCCCGGCTAATTTTTTGTGTTTTTAGTAGAGAGGGGGTTTCACCCTCTTGACCAGGATGGTCTCAATCTCTTGACCTCGTGATCCACCCGCCTCGGCCTCCCAAAGTGCTGGGATTGCAGGCGCAAGCCACCGCGCCCGGCCAGTTTTGTCTTAACCAACAAACTTTTTCTGCAGAAGGTCAGAGAATAAATATTTCCAGCTTTGTGGGCCATATTGTCTCAGTCACAGCCATGTAATTCTGCATCGTAGCATGAAAGCAGCCACAGACCGTTCATAAACAAATGGGCATGGCTGTCCTCCAGTAAAACAGCCAGTTTGTAAAACTGGCTGTGGGCTGGATCAGGCCCATGGGCAGCAGTTTGCTCACCCCTCTTCTTAGCAATCAGAAGTTATTACAACCGAGATTTTAGCAAACACTTTTGAGCAGACACTATTCAAAGAGCTGTATCTATTAGCTTATTAACCCTCACTGCAGCCCTGTAAATGATACTATTAATATGGCCCTCAGCTTACAAATGAGGAAATAGAAGCACAGAAGGTTTCAGCACTTTGCCCAAGGTCCCACAGTTATGAAATGGTGGGTCCAGTGTTGGAAGCCAATCTGGTTAGCCCTACGTCACATGCTCTGGACCTCCGCACTGTGCCGTCTCCTGTCGTTGTTAATGATATGAACCTTTGAAGAGCATTTGAACCTTTAGTGTGCTCCTGCTTTCTTCCCAGCACTTGTGTGCTTGTTACTTTCCTGTTGCTGTCATAACCAATGACCACAATCTTGGTGGCCGAACCCAACACACATTTATGATCCTATAGCACTAGAGACCAGGAGTCTGAAATAGGTCTCATTGGTATAAAATTAAAATGTCCTAAGATCTGTGCTCCTTCTTGAGGTTTTGGGGAGAATTCGTTTTCTTCCCTATTTCAGCATCTAGACAATACCCACATACCTTGGCTTGTGGCCCCTTCCACCATCTTCAGATCCGGCAATGGCCAGCCACATCCTTCTCACATCACTGTGTCTCTCCTGCCTTCGTCTTTGACATACAGGCCCCTTGTGATGACACAGGCCCACCTGAACAATCCAGATAACCTCCTCTCTGCCAAGCAACTGATTAGCTTAATAATTCCCACCTCCTTCCAGCCATGTGACCTAACATATTCGCAGGTTCCAGAGAGTAGGATGTAGACCTGTGGGAGGGCCATTATTCTGCATACCACACACACATATTTTAGCTCCCCTAATGCACAAGCAACCTAATGTGTGGGTCCTGCTGTGCCCATTTTACAAAGGGGAACACTGAGTCCCAGAGATGTCAAGTGCATTGTCCAAAGTCCCACAGCTAAATCAGACATCTAGGGTTCTACAGGTGTCCAGCTCCACAACATATGTCCTTAACCGCTGTTTAATCTTTTTGCTAAGAGAACATAAGTGTCAGCCATCTCAAAAAAAAATTCAGACTAAAAATATTTATGCCCCCAAGTGATCACAGCCACTCACTTGCCTGGGATAACCCTGGTTTGCACCTGTGTCCTCTTTGACACTCAGAAAATGCTCTAGTGGGCAGTAAATGTGTCACCCACCAGAGCTGACCGAAATTCTAAGTCTGTGACTCCTCATTACCCGATCCCCAATCCCCCGCTGGGGAGTCAGAGGTGGGAGTGCTGTCTTTTAGTGGAAATTTGGGATCTCTTGTGGTTGTCCATTCTTCCCTTCTCACACGTGAATTTCAATCAACAAGACAGATGTTTATAGAAGTAACTTCTGGTAAGTAGTTTCTTTGTTGCGGGGGAAGGTCCTAAGACCTTTCCAAGTTTCTCTAATTGTTTTGCACTGTGGCCGTCAGGGGTGCTTTCAGAAGCTGGCTGCTAAACTTCCAAAGAAAAACGTGTCCGTGGAGAAAGATGCCTTTCCAGGTGGAAGAACGGAGTGCTCAGTGCTAGTTTTATTCATTCTTCCTCTGTTTCCCCTTTTTCTTTTTTGGGTTCTGCAGACCGTTGAAAACTGTGTGTGCATTTTAAGGAACCTCTCGTACCGGCTGGCGGCAGAAACGTCTCAGGGACAGCACATGGGCACGGATGAGCTGGACGGGCTACTCTGTGGCGAGGCCAATGGCAAGGACGCTGAGAGCTCTGGTTGCTGGGGCAAGAAGAAGAAGAAAAAGAAATCCCAAGATCAGGTGATGCAGGCTGCTTGCAGCTGCATGCAATTACCCCCTTCCCTAATTGCAACTTTAATATTTCCTCTGTATATAGAGAGAGTGAGCCCTGCATTTTCATCAGGAGGTAAAATCACTCATCCATCTGCACAATCTTCCTGTGGGAATTTCACAGCTGAGACAGTGGGACGTGAAATGACTTCCCCCACACCTCGCAGTTGAGCCAAGATAGGAAATTTCTTAAAAAAGAAAGAAAAGCCACCTGAGCCCCTAGCAAGCTCTGACATTCCACCTCTGAGTAGGCGCTGTGTTAATTCACACATTTACGGAGAGCACTGTCGGAGCCGGGCTTGGCACCACCCAGGTGACAGGGATAGGTGGAATAGGGGATGTGATATAAGAAGGGAAAGAGAGAGAGGGAGACTCAAGATCCAACATGTATTTAATCGCTGGCTTTGAAGTGTTTGGATTTTCAGTCTCACACTTCCCATTGGAAATGGGGGTAACAGAGAATTCACAGTCCTTCCACAGGATGGCATTAGAAGCGTGGCCATGGGGGACAATTCAGATGAATCCAGAACAGTGTTCAGCTGGAGCCAGAGGCCACTTGAGAACAGAATGGCCCTCACCTGCTATAGCTGGAAGGAGGTTCCCCTGTAGCAAAACAAAGGCCGCTAGGCAGCACCCCTGAACCTGATGCATGAGAACAGCCTCCGCCCCTGTCCCGGGGAGCTCCTGAGAGACCAAGCCCCTCACCACAGGCCCAACCAGGACAGGGAGTGATGGGAGATCAAAGTGTCCCCACCTTTGCTAACACCAAAACAGAGGCTAACTTCAGGGCCTGGAAACTGATTTATCTCGTCAAGGAACTTACACAGAGCGCGAGCTTTGCAGATGTAAAGATGGGTATCATTTGTCCCTGGGATCTCTACTACATGTTAAGTCAGGTTTTTAAAGAGTATTTGGAGAGTAGAGAAAATATACAATACAAGTAAAGTGAAAAAAGCAACATAAAAACAAGTGTGTACATAAATATAGGTATAGATGATACAGACACAGGCTGGCCAGTTTTGTGTTATATGTCATATGCAAATACAGAATGCTATTTGCATGTACAAAATATGTGTTTCTTGAAAAAGCAGAGTGAGATCCCAGAGAAAATAATGATGGATTATTTTTGTATTTCTGTATTTATAAATTTTCTGCAATGGAAATTACATGTATAATATTTGCAAATGGCATTGAAAAATAGTGTTCAAAAAGGCACTAAGTTAATATATGCTTATAAAGATGTGGTTTTTTTCAAATAGATTTATACCTCACTGAAAGGTTTAAGAGATTATTTAGCATGAAAGGTTATCTAGTCTACAACACAGACTTCCAGGACAGAGGAGCCAAATGTTATAACAGGAGTAAAATCGATCCAAATAGTAATTGGTTAATGATGACCTCCAGAGCTTTTTCTATTCCAGAAATTTATGTTGACCCTTACATTTGGCATTGGTATTCTCAACCTTAAAAAGACACTATAATATTCTGCATGTCAAATTTAGCTATAAGAAAAATCTCAGAAACTTTTTTTAAAATCCCTGTAGGGATAACCCAGGAAAATATATGACACAAAGATGCATTGCATGCATGCTCTTGGTTCAAGAAGCGGTTGCTATTGAATATACTGGAAGTATCAGACTCCGAGCTCCTGTGTGCAGAAGTGTTGGACACTCTATGCATCACATTCTGGTCTAAGAGGTCCTTGCAAACTCAGCCATTTCTGAATCTGCTCTGTGCGGGTTGCTGAATTAAAGGAATTGCTAGTTTCTCTAGACCATTTTGGGCAAGCCGCCCATGAAACAGTCTGCGTGTCATCTACCAAGAAGGCGCATCACCCAAGAAGGCGCATCTCCCCCAGCAGGACCCTCCTTTCCCTCAGCAGGCCTTGGTGCCAGCAGCCTGTCACTGAAGAGTTGGTGGGGGGAATCCAAAGTTTGGGGTCCATGGAAATAGGAGGAGACAACATGGATTCATTTACTTTTTGCACCTTTTGTAGCAATAAGTGTTTTTTGGTTTGTTTTTCAACGTGGGATATGGCCAACGAGCCTGTGATGGCGTCCGGAGGTGGGTGCTGCATAAACGTAGTTTGGAGGTGACAGGACATTGTCTCCCACCAGCTGCTGGTCAGGTCAGACCTTCTTCAAGACGCTCTCAGTGTGAGACTGACCGTGTGCAGAGGGTCACTGAGAAAAGCAAAATCTAAATAAGCAAGATCTGCTGGAATTCTAAACCTCCCTTTTTGGCTTATAAATCAATTTAAAGTTATTTAATTCAAATGGGTAAAAAATATATATCTGTCCACATGGGTGAGGACACAAACCTGTCAGAATTCAAACAGGATTCTGATCCACTATTTTTATCTGGTAGGCCTTCTTTCATGATCATCTTTGTTTCACAGCTGAGTGCACTGTAGTCAATTTAAGAGTAAATATTTTTGCCCTTTTCACCTCTTTCTTAAGTTGTAGATGCCCAATGCATAAATCAGTGGGAAGAGTCACCTGTGATATACAGGATGATATTTTATGCAGAAAGCAATAGGAATGGGCTTCTGTGTAAAACTTCAATACCCCCTTATTTTTTCCATGATGAAAGATACGTCGTGGAAGAACTTTGAAGGTTTCTTCCCTGTACACTTTCCAGGCCTGTCTGAGGGTCCCGCAGCCCAGCCTCTAGGCTTCTGTTCATGCTGTTCCACCGCCTGGCACTCCCTTTTCCCACCCACTAGTTGGAGAATAATCTTTCAAGAGCACATAAAACATCCCCTCTGTTTTTCCAAGACTTCTTTCAAGTAAACAATTGCTCCCTAATCTACTTCTCCATAATTTTATTTAAACTTCTCTGCTAGTTATTATCATATGATGGGTAAGGTATAGCAATTGATCCCCAAAAAGAGCGGATTTTCTGCTCTTTTTGGCAAAGGGCTGTGTGGGTCTTATATTCAGTCTGTGACTTATAGCCCAATGCCTGGTCCCAATTAGGCTGTGGCCTGTGGTGGCCCTTAGCTCTTGCTGTGGGTTTAATTTTGGGTGGATGCTCATAGCTGTGACTTTTCCCAGACTTGTCTGTGTCTTTCCTGGTGAGACCTGACCCCAAGGGCCAAGCATCCTCGGCTGCCACCCCCTTACCCCCACACCGTGTTTTGAGCTGTTCCTCAGCCTTTCATGACCGTGCTGCCTTTATCTCATTGTTAGTCAATATTCTCAATCTGCCATCGCCACCAAAACAAATGCACCATCTAAATTACTATTATTATCTAAGAACTTAAGTTTATATGCAACAAATATATATGTGTGTGTGTGTTTCAAAGTATTCCTGGAGAAGCAGGACTTTTGATCCTGCCAGACTAAATGAATTCTTTGCACTGAAGGCGCTATGAGATAGCATGAAGTCCCATCACCTACAAGGGTTTCTTGGGTTTTCAGGATATCAATGTTGGCTACCCCTTCTTCAAAAGCTCACACATTGCCTGCTGTGTCATGTGGATGCTCTTGACCCCAAAGTGAGACTCTAAGGCTAAATAAACAGCGTGCAATGTCCCAAGACACAAGCATGAATTTTATTACTAGTTCAAATGACCACAGCGGAGATTTGAACTTTAAATAACAGTTTCTTCTCATTCCAGACAAAATAGATACTAATGATAAATATCTAGGTATACACGTACACACTTAACATGTAAATAATATGTGAGTAAAATAACACTAAACTCCAAGAAGAAAATAATACCCATACCTTCAGCGTGCCTCCTCCTAGAGAGATTCACAATGACAACTTAACATCTGGGCATATATCCTTTCAGATGTTTTTCTGTTAGGGCCCATATCAGACAGTAAAATTCATAAGGTCTTATAGTTGATATTTCCACTGATGTAGAACTCTGGTCTCTTGAGTCTTCAGAGGTCAGGCTCCTTGTATTTTAGGGAGATCTCATCTTTAGGGTGCTGCCTTCCTCCTCATGGTCCAGATTCTGGCTCTTCACATCCATAGCTCAGGAGCGCAAATGGGGGAAAGAAGACAGGAGTATCCTTTCCTTTAGGGCCCCACCCAGAAGTTTCACGCATCACTGTTACATCCCTGTGGCTCACCAGAGCTGCGAGGGAGGCTGGGAATTGTAGTCTCTGGGGACAACCGTTACCCTAGGTGAACCTCGGGCGTTCTGTTCATAAAGAAGGCACATAGCGGCCTATTCAGAGTGTGCAGTGAGGAGGGGCTCTGTGTCCCTATGAGGAGGGGTTTCTTATCAGTGAAATCACTTAGCATTATCTGCACATGGTAATGAACCAAAACCCAACTTGTATTCATTTCACTGCCTGTACATTCCCTGCAAAGAGTTCCGCCTCTTAGTACCTGCCCCAGGTGACAGCCCCACCGCCCACCTTGCTGCACCACCGATGGGCGGGACAGGTGTAGCACAAGCCCGCTCTGCGTCACTCTGCTGACCGCTTTATGGCAGCTTATCTGTAGACACAGACTGACTTCTTTCCTTGCCGGTAAGCAGTTCTTCACACTGGAATGCGGGGAAGCTACTGTGAATCCCATGGGGGAGGACTACCAATCCCCTATTCTTAGAAAATGAGATTGCTTCCAAGTTTCTACTAATGTAAACTATAATCCACATCTGTGTAGTTAAATCTCACCTACCCCCTTAATCACTTCGTAAGAATAAATTCTTAGACGTGAAATAGCTAGACCAAATGCGTGTTTTTAAGACTGAATACACAAACCGGAATTTATCTTGATCACTCTAAATGTCAGTGACAGTTTCTGTTCATGGCCTCGATTTTGTCTTTTCACTCCATGGATCTGCTCTTCATGACATTTGGATGCACCTAGGTTTTCATTTCCTAATATCACAGGTTATTTTTCTTTTTTCCCAGTTTTCATTTTCTCATTAGTAACATACTTTTTCTTTTGCCGCTTAATATCCTTTCCTTTCTAACCATCTGCCTCTTTCAGCGGCCGCCCATTCC